CTTCACAAGGTTACCAATGCAAGCCCAGACACCTGCAGAGTCAAGGATGTCCCAGACACTTGGCTTCAGTGACTGCTTGTTTTAGTCAGCCTTTCCACCTCAATGTCAAAAAACCTGACAAGAACAACATAGGAGGAAATATAATTTGGGGGTTGTGGTTTTAAAGGTTTTATTCCACAGACAGCCAACTCCATTGCTCTGGGCCCAAGGTGGAACAGAACACTATGGTGGAAGGGTGTGGCACAGGACATGGCAGTTAAGAAGCAGAAGAGATCCACTCACCAGGGACAAAATATAAACCCCAAAGGCATGCCCCCAGTGACCCACCTCCTCCAGCCACACACAGCCTGCCTAAAGCTACCCCTCAGTTAATCCACGTTAGTGGATTAACTCATTGACTAGGTTAAGGCTCTCATACCCTAATCATTTCACCTCTGAAAATGTTTGCATTGTCTAACATATGAGCTGTAGGAGGACACCTCATATCTAAATCATAACACTGCTGTTCCCTGCCCCTGAAGTCTTTGGTATTTACTTATCTCCTGGAAGGAAAAATCTGTGTGCCCTTCTGAGTCCCACACCAAGATCCATCCCAACAAAGAGCGAGAAGGGCAGAATGGGGAAGCACACAAGGGCTGCCTCTGAAAAATAAATGTCTCAAAGATTAATGGCTCGATGATCTCTTTGGAGATTGTATAAAAATTATTGATTATGTTACTAAGTTGTAGAAAATAGGTTCTGAGGCTGGGAACTAAGTGCTTTCTTTAAAATAATCTAGAAGCAGCAGTATAAATCAATGTGCAGAGCATCTCAAACACCGTAAGTATCATATCGGCTTCACATGCAGCTTGGCTTCTATGTGGGAAAAAAATCTGAACAGTTATCTTGGAAAGCTAAAAAAAAAAAAAAAAAAGACATCAGCTGGGTGTTGTGGTGCACACTTTAATCTCAGCAACTTGGGGAGGCTAAGGCAGGAGAATTGCAAGTTCAAAGCCAGCATCAGTAACTTTGCAAGTAACTCCAAACAACTTAGAGAAACCCTGCCTCAAAATAAAAAGGTCTGGGATGTGGGATGTGGCTTAGTGGTTAAGAGCCCCTGCGTTCAATTACTGGTAGGAAAAAAAAAAAAAGGCATCAAATGGGGTTGTGGCTCAGTGGTCCAGTGCTCGCCTAGCACGCGCAAGGCATGGGGTTCAATCCTCAGCACCACATAACATAATAAATAAAACAAATGTATAAAAAAATTATAATGAAGTCCTAACTTCTAGCACTTGTATATTTCCCATATCAGTGGAAAAGGGGCAAGCTACAATGATTTGTGCCAAATATTTTTTTTTCTTATGCAAAAATAAAGATACAAAATACTATATGATTTTTTGTTTTGTTTTGTTTTGTTTTAACAACTGAATCTGATGAGTTCAGTCTTGTTCAGTTATTTTGGAGTTAAACTAAATTTTAGTGCACTATCCTATTCATGTATTTAATCATGTTTTGAAATATTTTCAACTTGCCTGTATGACCAGTCATTTATGGATAAGAAAAAATGTCAACTGTGTATCTTGCTGAAAGAAAGAAACAGTATGCAGAAGTATCAATTTTTGTATAGTAAAATGAGATTTTTGTTTTCATATTGTGACAACATTCTTTGCTCTGAAGGATTCAAAAAAAGGTCTTTAAAGGTAACTATACCCATAGGAACATTAAATGATTATTCATAAACAGTTAAATACTTAAAGGAGCAAGTAGTACCAGGGGGAGTAATAAAGTGTCAGAACATGAAAATCACTCCAAACTGACAGTAAAACAGGGCTCTGAGATTGTCACGTGGTTCTGTGGACAACAATACAATTGATGCACTTTACAGCTTGGTGTTAGCTCTGCACCTTTGGAGAACTGAGACCTTTTTACTTAATGGGCCTCTGTTTCCTCACCTGCAAACCCAGGAGATTAGACAAAACAATCTTTAAGGCTCTTTTTAACCTGTATAATTTCCAGATTCTGTTTCCTGAGGTAAGATGTACTTATTTGGGAGGATTTGGAAACTCAGTATGTTACAGGCCTCTGGGTCCCTGGTTCATCCGTGCTGCAACGTTCCATTGTTTGTCTCTCCTCTAGCAGGTGCTTTACTGGATGCCAGGATTGGAATGATTCTCAAATGCCATTCTTCTCGTGGGGTTTCCTTCAGCATGGGGTTCAGGGTGGGGTGGTGAGTGAAGTCAGAAAAGTTCAGCTGAACAGAATTTATGGTTGGGTAGGTTTCCCTCTCTGGTCGCTATGGAGTCTGGACTCCTGGGGCAAAATATCAGCAAAAGTGCTCTCCAAGGTAGTCTCCACAGCTTAAAATGATGAGTGGGAAATGAGACAGAAACTGAATTTGTTATTTCCCTGGAGCTCTAAGGGTACTCCCAGCGTTTTACTTGGAGAGAGTGTAACCTGGCCTTTGTATCCCCCCCGCAAGAGCCTGTTTCACTGTGCTGTCATTCTAGTGAAACTAAAAACGCCTCCACAGTTTGGGAATATTTTCAGATGATGGAAAAAAGGTCTATGGAATATCATTCAACATTCTGCTAGTCCAATCTATGATGAGTTAAGAGGGATCTATCACTCTCATATGTCAGACAAACACACTGTACAAAATAGGCACCTCCATTGGCAAGGGCCCTGTGGGGTGCTCCATTCTCCCCGGTGGTGCATTCTAACTTACCTCATCCAAAAAACCCCAAAGTATTCTTTTTTAACAAAGTTTCCTCTGAAATGACCAGCATCCCAGTGGTGTCACTCTAGGAACCTTTTGGGCAGCATTGCTAGCCATCTGCCTTGATCTCTGTCCTGGTTTCTTGAGCTGTTTCTGTTTCTCATAGTTATGACATAAGACATTTCCTGAGGACAGACAGAGGAGCTGCACATGAAGCTGACTTTTTTTTAAAATAAAGTATTATGTCTTTTCATGTTTGCAAGCTTTCTTCCCTTTTCTACCTGCTACTCAGTGTTTTCTAGATGTTTCATCAGATGACAGCAGCCAAACATATTTCATCCCCAGTTGAAACCAAGCATATGCCCCAAGATTTTCTTTATAAATGAGAGTATCTCATAAGATAGAGCTAGCAAGAAACAGGAAGACCTTAGGGTGGGGATCAGGAATGACCTGAGCTCTAATATAGACTCTACTACTAGGAAAAGGAGATTTGACATTCTCATTCACAACAAGGCTAAAATATTATTTGCCATGCCAGTCTTGGATTTAAAAATGTTTTTAAAACTACAAAAATAATTTGTGATGTTTAATATGTTAAACTTCTGGAGGGGATAATTTTAGCTTGAAGTCAGTAATTAGAACTAATATAAAACCAGAAAGTAGATAACTAAATAGAGGTACTAGATGAAGTATATGTTTTGCCATCAGTGATATTTGTTGACTGGTTCAATAGAATTTAATTATATCATCTCCATTTCCAGGAGTCTTAATCTTCATTCTCACTTATTAATGATTTAGAGAGAATGCTCATGTGGTGAGTAAAAGCATCATTTTTAGAGTGAAAAGGCTCAGGGTCTGATATTCTGCTTTGCCACTTAGTACCAGAGGGATATTGCTTGGGGCAATGGCCCAATCAAATAGGGCAACTTATCTAATCCTCAGTTTTCTTGTGTGTGGTTGAGTTAAATAGCACCTGTTGTTCAGGATTCTTGTGAAGATTAAATATAACCAAGTGGGAAATGGCACAGTGCTTACATCATCATATGTCTGCAGAAGGATTCACTTCTCATGTACTCCATCTCTACACCCCTATAGAAGAGGATGAGAAAGGAACTGTCAGGGATGTGGCTGAGGAGTATGAGTTGGTGTAAGAAATCATATTTGGAAACTTCAAAGATATGAGCTATCATACTCATAGACTCAAGCATTCCTCCCCTTCCCATCCAAGCCCCATGTTAGAAATTTGGTAGATTTTACTGGTTAGTACAGAAAATTGTTTTTATCTTTTAATCTAATTGGTCATAGAACTATGGACTATCAAAATTTAGTAGTCACTGATGAAAATAATTGAACATAGCTCTTGAACTCATTAAATTTTTCTTGCAAGAAATTGTTACCTCCTTTGTTCTGAGTAGTGAGTCCACAGAGGGATATTACTTAGGATATGCATTTCCTTGGGATCATTCATCCTCTCTGCTTTATTACATGGTGGCTTGTTCCTTCTCATGGTGTTGGATTGTATATAAATGTTGATTGTATTCGTGATATTTTGAAATGTTTCATTAAAACACTATAATTATATGTAAGTAATTGTATAACCCCTGATAAACAATATTCATTGAAAAAAATTAGAGAATGAAAATATGCCTCCAAATCCTGCAATAGTTAAGCCTTTTAAAATATAAAGATGCAACGGAATATATACACGTTAAAAATAATAGGCTCATTCCATACATTCTATTTGAGGACCTTTTTTATTTTGCATTATCTTTTACTGTACCTGAAAATATACATCTTTATAATATTATTTTTAATGACTAGGAAGTATTTTGCTTTATGAAGTTACCATGAGTTGTTTGACTATCAGTTGATAGTCCTTTAGTATCATTTTAGTTATTTTAAACTGTGCTGTAATGAACATATATATAAATATTCTCCTAGGATAATTATGTAGATGGCAATTCTCAGAGATAAATGTGATTAAGGCCTCCAATACATATTTCAAATTGACTTTCAGAATATAAGAAATCTTTTACCAATGAACTATGCCCTCAGCAATCTCAAAATGTCTCTTTAAAAATATTCAAACAAGATGTAGTTAAATCCCCTTGTCTTTGAATTCCATATATCTAGCAATGGTGGCTGAGTTCCTGTTTTTCTTAAATGGATATTTGAATAAAAAAATTTTATTATGAAGTTTTCTAATACACTGTTTAACAACAGGTATTTCCTCTTCTTTCTCTCACTCTCTTTCAGGAGAATTTATCTTTTTTTTTTTTCTCTTTCTGCTTCCCCCCCACTCCAGGATGGAAGTATGATGTGATGGATATAATTATGGGACTCTGTGTGGGTACACGACCTCCTTCTTCTTGCCTCGTCCTCCTGCTTCTCAAGCTTTTGGCCACTGTATCCCAAGGGCTGCCAGGGACTGGACCGCTGGGCTTCCACTTCACTCATTCCATTTATAATGCGACAGTGTATGAGAACTCCGCCGCAAGGACCTACGTCAGCAGCCAGAGTAGAATGGGCATCACCTTAATAGATCTGTCCTGGGATATCAAATACAGAATAGTGTCCGGAGACGAGGAAGGCTTTTTCAAAGCAGAGGAAGTCATCATTGCAGATTTCTGTTTCCTCAGAATAAGAACTAAAGGTGGCAATTCTGCCATCCTGAATAGGGAAATTCAGGACAATTATTTATTGATTGTAAAAGGTTCTGTCAGAGGAGAGGATTTGGAAGCATGGACCAAAGTAAATATCCAGGTTTTAGATATGAATGATCTGAGGCCCCTGTTTTCACCCACAACCTACTCTGTTACAATAGCAGAAAGCACACCTCTGAGGACTAGTGTCGCCCAGGTGACAGCAACAGATGCAGATATTGGTTCCAATGGAGAATTCTACTACTACTTCAAAAACAAAGTTGATCTCTTTTCAGTTCACCCCACGAGTGGTGTTATCTCTTTAAGTGGACGGCTAAACTATGACGAAAAGAATAGGTACGATTTGGAGATTTTGGCTGTGGACCGGGGAATGAAACTCTACGGTAACAATGGAGTGAGCAGTACTGCCAAGCTTTATGTTCACATTGAACGTATAAATGAACACGCCCCAACCATCCACGTTGTCACTCATGTTCCCTATTCATTAGGCAAAGAGCCGACATATGCGGTGGTGACAGTCGATGACCAAGATGAGGGGGCCAACGGAGAGATTGAATCTGTTTCCATTGTGGCTGGGGATCCTTTAGATCAGTTCTTCCTGGCTAAGGAAGGAAAGTGGATGAATGAGTACAAGATTCAGGAGAGGAAGCAGGTTGACTGGGAAAGCTTTGCCTATGGCTACAATCTCACCCTTCAAGCAAAAGACAAAGGGTCACCTCAGAAGTTTTCAGCACTAAAGACAGTTCACATTACCAACCCTAGAAGAGACACTGTCCCAGTTAGATTCGAAAAAGAGGTGTACGACGTGAGCATAAGTGAGTTTTCTCCTCCCGGTGTTGTGGTTGCTATCGTAAAATTAAATCCTGAACCTTTAGATGTGGAATATAAATTATCTCCAAATGAGGATGCAGAGTACTTCAAAATTAATCCTCGGTCAGGTCTGATTGTCACAGCACAGCCACTGAATACCATTAAGAAGGAGGTTTATAAGTTGGAGGTGTCAAACAAGGAAGGAGATTTAAAAGCACAAGTTACCATCAGCATCGAAGATGCAAATGACCACACCCCAGAATTTCAGCATCCACTGTATGATACTTTTGTGAATGAAAGTGTTCCCGTGGGAACGAGCATTCTTACTGTTTCAGCTTCTGATAAGGATAAAGGAGAAAATGGGTACATCACCTATAGTATTGCCAGCCTGAATATGTTACCATTTGCCATTAACCAGTTTACAGGTGTTATTAGCACAACTGAAGAATTGGATTTTGAATCCTCTCCTGAAACTTACAGATTCATCGTTAGAGCCTCTGACTGGGGTTCTCCATACCGCCATGAAAGTGAGGTAAATGTGACCATACGAATAGGGAATGTCAATGACAACAACCCTCTCTTTGAAAAAGTGGCTTGCCAGGGAGTTATTTCCTATGACTTTCCAGTTGGTGGTCACATCACCGCTGTCTCAGCAATCGATATTGATGAACTTGAGCTTGTAAAGTACAAAATCATTTCTGGAAATGATCTTGGCTTCTTTTATTTAAACCCAGACTCTGGTGTTTTACAGCTTAAAAAGTCACTGATGAATTCTGGCATTAAAAATGGTAATTTTGCCCTCAGAATTACAGCAACTGATGGAGAGAATTTTGCAGACCCCATGGCTATTAACATTTCAGTTCTCCATGGGAAAGTGTCTTCAAAGAGCTTCAGCTGCAGAGAAACTCGTGTGGCTCAGAAACTGGCAGAAAAGCTACTTATTAAAGCAAAAGCAAATGGGAAATTGAATCTGGAAGATGGATTTCTTGACTTTTATTCAGTTAATAGACAAGGACCACATTTCGACAAGTCTTTTCCTTCTGATGTGGCTGTGAAGGAGGATCTGCCGGTTGGTGCTAACATCCTGAAGATTAAAGCCTATGATGCTGACTCTGGCTTCAATGGGAAGGTGCTATTTACAATATCTGATGGAAATACAGATAGCTGCTTTAATATTGACATGGAGACTGGGCAACTTAAAGTGCTTATGCCTATGGATCGAGAGCACACTGACCTCTATCTCCTTAATATCACTATCTATGACTTAGGTAATCCACAGAAATCATCATGGAGGTTGCTGACCATCAATGTGGAGGATGCTAATGATAACAGCCCAATTTTTCTTCAAGACAGTTACTCAGTTAACATTCTTGAAAGCTCAAGTATTGGTACGGAGATTATTCAAGTGGAAGCCAGAGACAAAGACTTGGGTTCTAATGGTGAAGTGACTTACTCAGTCTTGACAGATACACACCAGTTTGCCATCAATAGCTCAACTGGCATCATTTATGTTGCTGACCAATTGGACAGGGAATCCAAAGCAAACTATTCTTTGAAAATTGAAGCCCGAGACAGGGCAGAAAGTGGCCAGCAGCTGTTTTCGGTGGTCACTCTTAAGGTTTTTTTGGATGATGTCAATGACTGCTCCCCAGCTTTCATTCCGAGTAGCTATAGTGTGAAGGTACTTGAAGATCTCCCTGTTGGCACTGTCATAGCTTGGCTGGAGACCCATGATCCAGATCTTGGATTGGGGGGTCAGGTGCGTTACTCTTTGGTCAATGACTATAATGGGAGATTTGAAATAGATAAAGCAAGTGGTGCCATTCGCTTGAGCAAAGAGCTTGACTATGAAAAACAGCAGTTCTATAACCTCACTGTTCGGGCCAAAGACAAAGGGAGACCTGTTTCTCTGTCATCTGTTTCCTTTGTTGAAGTGGAAGTGGTGGATGTCAACGAAAACCTACACACACCCTATTTCCCAGACTTTGCTGTTGTTGGATCTGTAAAAGAAAACTCACGCATTGGAACAAGTGTGCTTCAGGTGACTGCCCGGGATGAAGACTCTGGAAGGGACGGAGAGATCCAGTACTCTATCAGGGATGGCAGTGGTCTTGGAAGGTTCAATATAGATGATGAAAGTGGTAAGTTTAATATTTTGTGCCAGAAATAATTTTTCACCTCTTTAAAATCAACATTGGAAGAGGTGTATTTAGACACTCCAATATAATGATAAACGAGTTTACATTTGGGACAATATAATGCAAAGTAATTTTTCTTCTTAGAACTTATTAGTTTATAAGATCTATTTATACTGTAATAGCCATGATTCCCAATGGAAGTCATAGTTCTATTTTGTTTTGTTTTTTTTTCCTGCTCAACACTACTGCTACCGGGTTATCTTTTGATAAGCATAAGTAATTGTCACCTCTGTTGATTATACTCCTGACCCTCATGAAATGAATAACTCTGATAAAGTAAATTACATTTGAATTGGATTTAAATTAGAAGTGTGAAATGGATTTTCAAATGGATCATATATAGGAATCTTTCTTTTTCCAGCAAGGTTTTGCTGAAGTCACATTGCATTAGTGTCTTGATCTTTCATGTTTGATGGTTACATCTGGCCCTTGAGTGATAGGGGTTTGGGATTTACACTTTATATTCTCCACTAATACATAAAGGTGTGCTCCTACAGACATTTTACAACACAACAGAAGATCCATGTTGTGAGTTTTATTTATAAACATTTTAAGATTTTATTTGTGAAAATTTATTTTTTTATAGAGCTTTAAAAACACAGGACACAATTGTCCCAATATTTTCATTGCTCCTTACCTGCTTATTTATTCTCAATCTTAGATACAGAAATTTTTTCAAATACCTGGTATTGTTATTATTTGTCTTTAAATGTACATGTCCCTGGACACATGCATGTGTCTGCATTCCATTATTAGTGCTGTGCATTTTTCTACTCTGAATAGATTACAGACATCTCAAGGGAGGAGTTGTGTCGTCTCTTTTCCTGTGTAAATGGCAATATTAGCTCTTTATAGTGTTCAGGGGAAATTTTTATTTATTAACCAATTTTCTACAATATTGAAAGAGTGGTTTTCTCCCTGACTTGGTTCAGGCTGCCATAATGAAATATCATGGTCTGAGTAGCTTAAACAACAGACATTCATTTCCCAGTTCTGGAAGCTGGAAGTCTGAGATCTGTGAGCCTGCCAGGGTCAAGGTGAAGACTTTGTTCTGGGTTTGCAGACTGCTAACTTTTTTTCTGTATCCTTTTAAATGGTAGAGAGGGTGCTTTGGTCTTTTGTTCTTAGAGTGTCACTAATGCCATCATGGAAACCACGCCATCATGACCTCATTTAAACCTAATTACTTCTCAAAGGTCCCACCTTCAAATACCATCACCTTTGGCAGAGGGCACTTATCAACATATTACTTTTCAGAGACACAAGTATTCAATCTATAATATTGAGACCCAGTGATGATGATGATGACTAGAACAGGTCTTAGGAAGGTATCATTACAGAGATGCTAACAGTATATTTATAATATTAGAAAAAGGATTTTAAAAACTATATTAAATATTGGGCAGGAAAACAATTTTACATTCCCTTTCAAATTTAAACTATAGCTTTTGTTTGTATACGTTCTAATAATGGCCAGTGTAAGTTGTAAAATTAATCTCCATATCATAATGAAGGAAAAGTTCAAAGTCAGGAAAATTCAGTCTTTCTGTATGCATATTCTGTGTTTCATTTTTATCTCCTGTTATTTGGCTGGAATATCTTTACATCTTTGAAGTACAAATCAAGAAGAGAAGGGAATTAAACTTTACTGAATGCCAACTCTGTGCTAAAACTCCAATTCTACTAATAATGACTTCATTGACACTGTCAGTCTTTTGAGGAAGGTCTTACTTAGTTTCCCCAATAGCGTCATGAGGTAGGTAGGATTAATAATTATCAGCTCATGAACTGAGTTTCCAAGGAGATATGCAACTTAGCACCTAGTTTCAAACATGGGTCTGAGTAGCTGCATTCTACCATGCTTTCCTTTATCTGAAGACAAGTATGTGTTTCCTTGTGTATTCTCAAGCATACTTAAATTTGGTGTTCTAAAATCTGTAAGGCAATTGAGCATTAAACACTTTTCAAAATACTTACAACACTGGGCTCACTTACTGCTGATCTGACCATGGATTCCCCTTTGTTATGGTTTAAATGTAGTGTCCCCAAGAAGCTCAAGTGTGAGACAGTGCAAGAAGGTTTGGAGGAGAAATGATTGGGTTATAGCCTTAACCTAATCAGTGATTTAGTCCTTGATGGAATTAACTGGGTGGTAACTGGAAGCTGGTGAGATGTAGCTGGAGAAGTTCATTGGAGGCACGGCTATGGAGTATATATTTTATATCTGGAGAGTGGAATGTCTCTCTCTCTCTCTCTCTCTCTCTCTCTCTCTCTCTCTCTCTCTCTCTCTCTCTCTCCCTCCCTCCCTCCTGTCTGATCATCAGGTGAGCCACACTCTCCACCCATGATATCCTGCCTCTCTTAAGCTCTGAGGAATGAAGCCAGCCACTTATGGGCTGAGACCTCTGAAACTCTGAGCCCCTAAATAAACTTTTTCTCCTCTATAGTTGTTCTGGTGAGATCTTTTAGTCACAGCAGTTAAAAAACTGACTAAAACACCCTTTGTATTTTTTTTTTTTTTGTATAGTCTCAGTGTTTACATGGCTCTTCAGTAACCGCACTTGGTTTTGTGACAGGTGGATGTGGGTAGGAAGGTGAACAGGAAGATATTGAACTGAATCATTAACCACTACTATTATTTTACATTATTTTTGCCTTTGGTGTTATTTTTGAAAATGTGTGTACAGTTTCATCTGATGATAAATCTACCCTTATAATGCTTGACTCCTACAGTTTGATGTTCTTTGCCTCTGTTGAAAAGATAATACTGCACTCTTCATTTGTTCCAATGTATTCTGGGTTTTATACAATAAATTTTGGTATCAGTGAAGATAATGTCACTTATATTTTGACATTGCTTCCTGTCTCTAAGAGTAATTTCCTGCAAACATTCACATTTTTGCATTAAAAAGCAGCTAAGTTGGGTACACACACCCATCAGAGGACATAAGCTGAATATAGGCACTGCATCTCCTCAAGTTGTAACCGAGTGCTCTTTCCTATGCATTCAATTATACATATTTCTGATTTGTTTTTCCAGAGGCTTTTTTAAATTTTTAAGACTTTAGTACCAATTTCCTTTCCCCTTTGTCATTTCATGTTAGTCCCTTCTCTTAAAAAATAAAACTAGATTTTCTCTATACCATGGAAAAAAAGATTTCAACTTGTTGTGAGACATTTTTTATCTAGATTAGAATTTCCACATACTAATATTTGTAAACATCATTTTTTTCTTCTCTCTACTTATATATTTTAGCATCTAAGCCCAAATAAACTGATGAAAAATGATACTTGGACTTGTGCAAGGGGGATGAAAGAATTGAGGGAAAGTTTGACAATTCTATGTCTTACATATGTATTGTCTGCTGTAATGCAGTAAGACATCACCATAGTGCTGTTAGATGCATACTACTGTTGGATAATCCATCAGCTCTGCTCCTCCAAGTGCTAAAAGTCTTGGTCTGAGCT